TTCCGGGGGGCGCTGGACAAACCTGACTTAACACAAATCTTACCTTCCCTTTGGCGCAGGTAAAACCGAGCTGGCCAAGCAGACCGCCAAGTACCTCCATAAGGACGTGAAAAAGGTAACGGCTCTTCCCTTCGTTTTTTGCCCTCTGGGTGCTTTTACTACCGGGGTGGGTTTGGTTTCTTGGCGGCAGGGTTGTCGTCTGGCTTTGCCGAATTCATCCGTGGGAGAGGAAGGTAAGGTCTGTCTGTGCGCACCGAGAAAGGGCGTCTGCTGCCTTACGGTGGATCTCATCCCTCTCTCTGTACCGGAGTATTGGAATTGCAAAAATCTAAATGGATTTAACAACATCCTGTGTTCCCCGTTTGAGGTGGCTGTCGTTTTGACATCCTGCGTTGCGAACATTTTTTTTTTTTTTTCCCTCTGTTACTAATAACGCTGTAAATTGTTAGAAGGATAAAATACTGAAAGTCCTTTTGACGCGTCCCTGGCTGTCCCACTTGTCATGTTGTACTGGTGGAGGTGGCGGCATTGATTTCCCACTCAGGTTCTTAGCAGGAAATGTTTGGGATCCAAACAACAGAAGCCGTTTGCGTGGTTTAGTTCATTATTTAGTTTTTAGTGGAGATGGGTTAGAATTATTTCTAGGTGGCGGTGGCTTCGCAGGGCATAGTTCAGGGATGCCTAAGGTTTAAACCACCAAGCCGGGCTCCCCGAGGCTCTGCCTGCCTTCGGGACGTGCCCGGGCGCGGAGCTTGGAGCCGGGGAGGAGGAGGAAACCCAAGCGGAGCTGCCCCCCGCGCCGAGGCTAGATTAATTCCTCTCCCTCCACATCCTCCAGCAGAGAACGGACACCAGGCAAAATGACATGTGTAGAAAGAAGATCAAAAGTTAAAGGACGCTATAAAAATGGTTGCTCTGGTTTCTTTTCCTCATCCTTCTATAATTGCCTTCCTGGAGCAATAAATCCCGGCTCCCGGGTCTCAAGCACCTTCATCCCCAACTCCCGCACCTGGAAGTGGTCAATGCCCGGCCAAACAGCAGATGGGAAAACCACTCAAGACTGCATGTTGTGTTAGCTCAACAGCACGCACAAACCGGAGTTCTATTGCTAATGAATCAGCTTGGCCGTCAGTGCTGTAACGAGCGGTGCGGGGGGGGGTGATAAATCCCATGAGTGGTTATGGGGGAGCAGCAATTCGCAGGAAAAAACCCCAAAACAAGCCCGTAACTGGCCCATTTTCATTTCACGGGGGGAGCGGGAAACCGGGCAGATCCTCCTGCTTTCCTCCATGCCTTGGGAGTTCACGGCAGCACCGTCCTGGTTTGGTGCCCTCGGCATCACCCGGGACCAGACGAGCCCCGGGCTCCCCGCGCGCTGCTCGACGTCCCAACCGTGGGCGCCGAAGCTGAATAGTCAAGGTCAGGTTAAAGATGTCCCTGCCCATGGCCTCGAAAGGTCCCTTCCAACCCAAACCCTTCCCTGATTCCGTGATCCCTGCATGTGTCCGTGCACGTGCTGCGCACACGTGTCCGGCTGAGATGTGTACACAGACATGCGTCTCCTTTGCGCAATGCCCGTTCTTCTCCCCAGTGCCTGCGCATCCTCCCACCTCCGTCGGCCCTTCCCAGTAAGTAACTGTTCCGCACGGGGCTCTGCCTCTCGCCGGAGGACGGTACCCGTGTGGGCACGTTTGCAATCAGCCCCTCAGGACCTCCAGGTCCCGCCTGGGAAGAGCCGTGCGCAGCGGAGCAGGGGCTGGATGCCGGCGGAAAGCTGTTGTGTCCGGCTGACTGTGCTGGGCTGATGCTGGGGAGGTTCAAGCTTGTCTTCAGCTCAGGGAGTTGGACTAGGTGATCCTCGTAGGGCCCTTCCGCTGACTGTTCTGTTCTGTTCTATTCTATTCTGTCCCATCCCATCCCATCCCATCCCATCCCCATCCCCATCCCCATCCCATCCTCTTCTCCTACCTCCAGGAGCTAGGTTATAGCTGCAAGCCCAGGAAATTCAGTGTCTGCAGTGAATCATCAGTTTTTCAAATGCAAAAAGGGAGCTTGGGTCCTAGCTGTAAATTCTCTAACAAGATCAGCTCTTTGAGATGATCACCCGTGAACCTAGTTTACCTCGGCTTTATGATTTTGATTTTGATTTTATTTTTGCAGAGAGGCGTTGTGTCCTTCTTGTGAATTATTTCTCAAAAGCTGAACAGCAATAATATCCATTTTATTTAGCAAATTGCGAGTTGCTGTTTCAGTCCCATCTGTATCGCTCCGGCTCTAGCGACGAGCAGAGCATCTGAAGCGAATCTCGGCCGGGGGCTGTGAGCCGGCAGCGGGAACTGCTCTTGGCTCTCTTTAAGAAACTGCAACCATCTTCCTCTTCCTCAGAATAACCCCCGGGGTTTTCTGGTGGATCTGGCCACCCCAGTGCCGGCGGTCCTTGGGAACCGCAAAACCACGTGTTCAGCCAGCCAGCCACCCGCCTGGTTCTGGGCGAGCCTTCTAAATGTCACGAAACGTGGAGCACATCAATCAAACGCCACGTTAAGTATTGCTTTCTCTTGCAGGGTTTCATCAGGCTGGACATGTCAGAGTTCCAGGAGAGGCACGAGGTCAGTAAATGAGCCCCCTCTGCTACCGAGGGGTGCAGCTTCCAGTTTAACGGGTAATTTGAGCAAATCCTGTCGATGCCCTCGCTTTCCCCTGCGTTCGGTCCTTGTCCTGAGCATCTCCTCGCTGCCGCTGAGCGGGACAAGCACCTCCTGGCTGGGTGCTGTCTCGCCCTGGCAGCGTCACCCAGGATTTATTCCTTCCCGAATTAATTCCACGCTCTCCCGAAAACGGGCAGTTTTGTGTGTCAAATGGGGTGTGCAACAGAGCAACAGCCATTGCGTTAAATTGCAATATGGGAAATACCAGCCAAAAAAAAAAGCAAGTTTAACTCAAAAAAAAAATAAAAAATAGTAGGAACAGAGACCAAGGAGCAGGAAAAGATTTAATAATTCATGTCTGGTCCTGCAGCTTCTGTACGCGGTGTCAACCCTCGGGGGAAGAGCGACCGAGAAGTGGGGGGCCCTAAATCGCTTTGGAGGGCTCTGTCTCCCCAAAAAGCAGCAAGGTCCTAGCTGAGATAGGCGAATAATATTTTTCTTTTGATGGCTGTGTAGGGGCCTTGCATTTTTTATTGGTGCCACCGGTGAGGTGCACCCACATCCAGAAAGCAGGGGATGAGAACTCTCCCGTGAGAGACATCAGAGCCGCTGCGTTGTTTTCTGCAGACAGGGAAGAAGGACGGGGAGGAGGAGGAGGAGGAGGAAGCTCCTACACTGCAGGAGTGAAAAATAGGTAGAAATAAAGCCGTGGTGATGATTCGGTACAAAGAAAGAGGAGTTAGGAGTAGCAGTGTAAGATATAAAATACTGCGCCCTGACAAAGACGAGAGGCAGAGCACAGGGAAGGAATAAAGTAGAGAATTGCGGCCAGAGCAATATACATTTTTCAAGCAAACAAGGATCAGGAGGTCAGCCCAGGAGACCGCGGCCTTTGAAGGAGCCCGGGAGCCTCACGTAGCCCCAGGCACTGCGAAACGAATGCAACAAATTAGCTGCCGTCGGCGAATTTCTGCTCGTTTCTGCCGTCCTGTTCCCAAGTCAGCGGGACCCCCCCCGCGCTGCCGTCCCCGTGTCCGTGGGAGCGGGCAGGGAGGGCAGCGATGCTCGGGGAACGGGACTCACAGCTCCGCCCGGGCAGCCGGGTCGTATCGTTGGGCAAAAAGGAGACGCTTGAATGGGAGAATCGGGGAAGGGTTTGGGTTGGGAAGGACCTTAAAGACCATCCAGTTCCTACCCCCTGCCGTGGACAAAGCTCTTAACACCGTCACCGCTTGTCCTATCGCTACATGCCCTTCGAAATAATCTTCTACATTTTTTAACCGAATTTAAAAAAAATCACGATGTCAAGTAGTGAAGTCATTTATTGACACAGGAAAAATATTTCCCCTGTGGGCTCTTCCCAAGCTTTGATTCCCCACCAGAGCCACCCGCCGCTCATAATCCTTTGAATCCTTGCTCTTAAAAAGGCTAAAGGAGACGAACATGGGTCTTGGACAGCGGGGATGGGTCTCTCGGACGCTGTTCAGACGCGGCGGGTTGTCCACCGGTGGCTGCAGACCTTGCTGGTTGCAGCCCTGGGCGAGGTGATTGCTCAGCAGCCACCAATCCGCATTTTGCCAAATTGTTGCTGATGAAGCTGATTTTGGGATACCCAGGGTGCGATAGACGCCACAAAGAATATAAACCTTGATTTGTCTGCAGCCAAGAGCGGTGGCTGCCTGCTGAGCTACCGAGAGGGCTTCGTTCCTGGTGTCCATGGAGCAGCTTTCACCCGTCCTCTTGCTTCTTCCCAGGTCGCCAAGTTTATCGGCTCTCCGCCCGGCTACGTGGGCCACGAAGAGGGCGGGCAGCTCACCAAAAAGCTGAGGCAGTGTCCAAATGCCGTGGTGCTCTTCGACGAGGTTGACAAAGCCCACCCAGACGTCCTCACCATCATGCTGCAGCTGTTTGACGAGGTAAATCCGTCTTTCGGGGACAAGAGTTTTGCACAGGGGCTGTTCAGAAGGTGACAGTGAGCACGGCAAGGGACGACGACGCAGGAGATGTCCTGGAGCGGAGCTGAAACGCTCCAGCTTGATAGTCCCTTCCAAAAAATGTGAGCCAGCCAAGTCAGCCTCTTCTCCATTCCAACACCAGGAAACGGGATGATGCTGAGGTCTCCTGCCGCAATAAATGGCATTTTTAGGCAAAAAGCCAGCGATGGGAGGGTTGGAAACATGAGGAAGAAGCCTGGGAATTGGATTGTCCCGTGTCACTGGGAAGGTGTGATGGTGAAGACTGTGACATGAGGACGCTGCTAAGGAACAGCCCCCCCCAGGGCGGTCGGACTTGGGCTGCCAGTCCGCGGCAGAAAGCAGGAGCGAGGAGAGGAGGCGGGAGGGCGATGGCCCCCTCCACGCGGGTGCCCTGCGCCCACCTCCCATGTACGCACGCATCCACGGCGCAGAGGAAATCGTCTCCGAGGTCTCGGGCGCGGGTCAGGTGTCGTCACAACGTCAGAAAAGCAGGGTGGTCTGGGGACTTCGTAGTCCATCGAAGCCACGTCTTGTTAAACACTGGGTTTTAGTTCAGGTTGGTTAATTTATGACTGTTTAGGTGGCATGTGATTTGTCTCACGCCTTCCCTGCCCCAGACGTAGAATCCCAGTCTGGTTTGGGTTGGAAGGCACCTTACAGACCATCCAGTTCCCACCCCTGCCGTGGGCAGAACTCCTCAGGGAACAACTGCCTTGGGGGAAGGTCCGTGCCCAGTAGCTCTCCAGGAAAACTCCCAGGCGTCTCCAGGAGTGCGTTGGCCTCCTCTGGAGATGGCTCAGGTCCCGGATAGAAGCCCTGCACCCCTCCAAGGTAGCCACCCAAGGCGTTTTGTCAACATTCGAGGCAGGTCCATGCCCGTCAGCTGCCCAGTACTCCTCCCAGGCATCTCCGCGCACGACACCCCCCATCCCGCCGGCAGCGGGATGGAGAGCAGGTACCGGTGAGGAGGGGAGCACGAGGGCTTTGGAGTCCTTCGCGGGTCTCTGGGGGACCTTGGCGTACGACCCCGCTCTCCTGCACGAGCTGGTGGGAGTCAGGGAGCAACGCGCGTCTTCTGCCGAGCCCTCAGCCTGCCGCCCGCAAGCTTTCTGCTTTATTTTTAAGGTCCCGGATTGTCCTCAGAGGCAACCAAACTCCAGAGCAACACGCTGGAAGGTTTTGGGGTTTTTTTGTTTTAAGGATTAATAACACAATTTTTTCTTGCATAGATCATCGCAGCGGCAGCTAAATGTGAAATCAATTCCTGTACCACGCACTTGACAGGGCAATAACCCAAATGTTAATCTCAAGCACCCAACAAGGATTTGTGTCATTGTGCTGGATATCTGCTGCTGGAGACATATCGAGGAAAGAAACTGCCTGGGGAGCCGCTCAGTTTTTCCTTATTTTTCTCTCTTTTTTTTTATTTTATTAATCAAGAGAACTAGCACTTTTGAAGGGTTCCTGCCTTGGTGTGGCAGG